CATCCATCCATCCATCCATCCATCCATCCATCCATCCATCCATCCATCCATTGTCCATCCATCCATCCATCCATCCATTGTCCATCCATCCATCTGCCCACCTGTCCGCCTGCCTGCCCACCCAGCCATCCACCCATCCACTCATCTATCCACCCACCTAATCATCTACCCATGATCTCTTCCTATATGTTGCAATAACTTCCTGGGTGTTCAGTGCAGATGTAGCCATCATCAGCCTAACCGTGTAGTGTGGATTTTCCACCGAGGGTTGAATCTGACACTGTGAAACCCAGAATGACCCACAAAGACTATTTATGCAAGGAATAGACATTTATATTTTTAAGCAGTTTTGTTGTTTAGGGGAATCATCATCTTTGGCATTTTAAGGAGTTAGTTTTCATTTGAGTTATTTGTTTTCATATATTCATCAATTGATTGAGTGCAAAGTAATATGTGAATCAGGATAAATCACCTAATGTAAGACAGGTAGAGTTGACATCCTCCAGTAACGGACAGATTAATTTTGAGCATTATTGTTAATTTGAAATTAATTTAGTCACTAGAATTAAGGGTGAATCAGGCTGACTAAAGGATCAAATATCAAAGTGAAAAGACATCTGCTGATTTCTCCCTGTTCCAGTTCTGTTAAGTGAGGAAGAACAAATTAGATTTTCCTTTCACTCTAGGAATCTGACTTCAGTTGGTTGGAATTAAAACCTTTGGAGAATCTAAGCCAAGAAGGAGAGATTATAATGTCTCCCTCCTCCAACCCTCTGTTTCTGTGAAGCATCGATATAAAATTGTGAATTTAGAAATGCCACAGATAGATGCGAATGTTGAAGTTAAAATAGCTTCTTTCTAGAATGCAGATGGCCAAATTTGGATAAGTATCTGGCAGCTGATTTTGCAGAGTATTTGGGGAACTGTCTTGACTTTATTGGTGCTCCCAGCCTCTGCTGATCCCTGGGTCCCAGAGAACATAAATGTGTGTTTCATGTTCCAGACTGAAGTGCTTTCAACCAGGCGTCAGCCATGGGATGCTGTGATTTTGCAAGACTTCTACTAGATTCCTATAGCGATCTGGACCTCGCTGTCTACGCTCTCTGTCTTTCCACCTGCTACCTCTTCCTAAAAGTTAAGAACCATTGTCTCATCAAATTTAAAATAACGATTTTTTGGAAAATCATTGTTTCACATGCACTGAGAGCTCCCCATCGCTGTTAGTCAGTGTCTTCCAAAGACAGCATTTTTCAGATTTCGAATCATTTCGCAGCCAGGACACCATGTTGT